CATACCGGAGAGAAGCTAGTTTCTTATCTAGCTAGATAGGAAACCAAAGTGTCTTATTGTAACTATTTTAAAGTGGCCACTTTGCAAAATAAAAATCTCATTAAAAGGTTTCCAAGAGAACAAAATATTTTTGTTTCTAACAGTAAACAGAAAACAGCAGTGGAAAGTGCCTTAGCGGAAATACGACCTTTAAGGCGGACACACAGCCTGCAGTTCCCAGGGCTGGCCCGCAGGCCGGGGGCCCGCCGCCTGCCTGGACCAGAGCTGGCCGGGAGCGCGGGGACGTGGCAGCCGCGTGACCTGACCGTGACCGTGACCGTGACCGGAGCCGAGCCGGGAGCCACATGCTCGCTGTCCGCCCCGCCTGTGTAGCCCCAGCGAGGCGGAGCGCGGGGCTGTCCGCACAGGCGCGGGCCCCTTCGCAGCTTCTTGGCCAACGCAGCGGCGCGGCTGCACACCGGGGCTCCCTCTGGGAAGGAGCTGCTGGGGGGTTGGGGTCTGGGGCTCCCTCCGTCCGTCCCTCCGTCCGTCCCTCCGTCCGTCCGTCCGGGCTCTCCCCTAACGAGGCCTCCTCCCGGGCAGGGGGGCGCGGAGCCCGGCTTTCAGCACAAGGTCTCTGGGCAGACGCTAAACCTGCATCCCAAAGGGAGGCTATGAGAGCAATAATACTGTCTCACAGGTAAACTGCTCGAGACTGTCTGTGTTTTAAGGCATCTGTAACACATTTGACAAATAATTTTAGCGCTTGCTTAACAGATATTAAGAATTTATTGTTATGCATTTGCTTCAGAGTATGCTTGGCATTTTTCCTCTGTTGTTGTGGAAATAATCTTTAACTCAAAATAAATAACATTCAAGTTTAAAGCTGAAGGGCTGAACACAAAACATTTTGAATACAAATCTAAAAATCGTTCTAGCTCACCCTACTCACAAGTCTTAAAATCAGTTTTGAATCTATGTCATTATTTTCCCTTTTTTAACTTTTCCCTCTCTTTGCAATTTCCTTAACTATGTGTTCCTTCCTTACAAAGAGATTAAACATGGGAAGCATGCCAAAAGTACAATAAAGGGTAACTAATCATTACTGTACACGTCTGACAGAATGCTAATAACTAAAAGGAGAACAATGATTGGCTGGCTTGCCCTCTGGGAGTCGAAGATGTCTCATAGGCCTTTAATCTCCCGCTCCTTTATCGGCAGATGTTTACTTACATGACACCGTTTCCAAGGACGCCACACTACATTTCTGATCTCTGTACCCACAGACTACCCTCAGGCCCCAGCTCACGTGGCCAGAGACCACATTCAGCGCTTTTCTGTCTCAGTTCCTCTTCTCACGTGTTGAAAGACCCCATGGGGGACAGGGACTTTGTCAGGTTCAGCCCCGTGTCCCCTTGGGTGCCTAGAACAGTGCCTGCTCCGCCTGCTGAACCAGTGTATCAGCTAAACGACTCGACTCGTAGTCGTTCAATGACCATTTAAACCTGCAGTCTCCAGAGACGGCCTTGGTCATGGCGGAAAGGAAGCTGCGTCTGAAGTCAGGAGTGTTGCTACTGAGATCTCAATGGACACCTCACTTCATCTATACCGGCCGGCCAACTTGGCTCCCCCACGAGAAGACCCTGGCACTGTTCCTCATTCAAAAAGCCAGGATGCTGACGCGCTCCAGTGTCCTCACTGTGATTTTCTGTGCTCGGGACTGAATCCAGGCCGGCGAGAAGGCCAAGTGCACCCTCTGCCACACAGGGCCACGGCCCTCATGCCTCTCCCTCGAGAGCAGACTTGGACATCTTAGTGTTTGCAGACTGAGCTCTGTTTGTGATGTCAGTAGAGAAGGAATGCCCAACTAAAGTGGATCAGCACAGTTCTGGGTGTGGCTGAAGGGATTTACTGAAGACGGAAGACCCACAGGGCACGAGTGGACCGAGAGGCTTGCCACCTGAGTGGAACACGAGGGGAATGGAGAAGGCAGGCTGCTTCTGTTCCTTCGGAGGAGCGCGAGTGTTCACTCGCCTTCACCTTGGACCTTAGACGTCGTCCCCGGGCTTCTGGCACAGACCCTTCAGCCTCCTGATACAGACCTGCAAGGGGCTCTACACTGAGCCCCAGGCCCTCGCCTGGGTCCTCCAGCTCTCTGTGCACACCCAGCCCTTCCGCCTTCCTCACACCCGGGTCTGAGGGCGGCCACTGTAACCTATCTTGCAGACCCTTACACTGCATGCAGTGGTACCTCCACTCACGAACTTGATTCTTTCCACGGTTCTGGTTGCAAACATTCAGTTAGACGAGAACCAAATCACATTCAATGGTTAGGTTCAATGTTGACTTTATGGGGAAATTTGATTCGGTTCTCATCCAGTTCAGTTTGCAGCCAGAATCATGGACAACTGAGTTCGTGAACTGAGGCACCACTGTATTTGTACATCTTGTATTTAATCTGTTTCTCTAGTAAGGCCTGACTGACACTGCTCCAATTCTCAGTTCTGGAGGTCTGTTTAAGTCATAATAGGGAAGGTGACAACTGCTAACATCCTCAGTGCCAAGGTGCTGGCCCTGTGTGGCCACATTTCTGCTGATCCCCCGAAGTGGGGGGTTTCGGCCCCATCACTAGAGGAAGAAGCTGAGGCTCAGAAAGGTCAGACAAATCACCTGTGGAGTCTCCACCTCTGAAGGGCAGCTTGCTCTCTGTGACTGTCCCACTCTGCATTTCATTGTTCTCCTACCTGTCCCTGTGTCAGGAGCTGTGTTGGCCGAGCAGCACAGCGCGGCGGGTGAGAGTGCTGTACCCACAGGGAGGCTGAGCCCGAATTCTGCCACTCACTAGACTGTGTGTGTGAGCGGGAACAGACAGCACCACACATACTGGTCAGTGAAGGGTTGGACCAACACTTGGAGGGATTTCAGGACAACACATGGCCCACAGTAACCCTATATATGTTTCAATGAAATAAACTCAGTTTCCTGGTCTGGTATATTCATGGGTGTGCGACTAGCTTTCTAGGCATACTGGTCATAGTTGTTATTCTCTTTCCTTAGCCTATTTTCTTGGCCAGCTTAACACTTATTAAGAGTTTTATCTCCTACTTATATCATGACTATTTTGATCAAATTTTGCATTTTCTCCTAAATGTTTTGATAGAAAAACAAATACATGGTCAGACATCATGTTTAAAGAATAAGAGAATTATAGGCCAGAAGACTAGTATCCCTTTGCTTCGCCAAAGTGTGTAGGGAAAAAAACATAAAAATGTGAAAACATTAGAAGGCTTTCTTTCTAAAAGACACCTTCTACTTTGAGAAACCTGTCGTGATTCTTGGTCGTGGCGTGTCACTATGAACTCATCACCTACTCTGACACACTGTTATTTCCATTTCAAAGGAGCCTCTCTATTGATACGTTAAGGTGCAGATTTAATGCACATTGCTTCCAGTTACACAGGGGCTTACACAGATTTGTGCAGTATCCGCGTTAAGCTACTGCTTCACGTGCAGCTCCCAGTTCGCCTCCTCATGCAGTGGTCCCTGACAGTGCTGGCTGGGACGGGCCCGTCTGTCGTCCATCTCCTTGGAGCACCACGGTGGGGCCCAGGAACCAAGCTGGCAGTCACGGCTCCTGCGTCTGCAACAGGGCCGGAATCTTCCAGGGAACAGAAACAGTCACCAACAAGGTGTCTGGTAAAAAAAGGTTCTTTTCTCTCTTTTTTTTTTTTCTTGCACAGGTTTCTTTGGAGTAAACTGGAAAAATTATATATACATATGCAGTTCATATTTTTGTTTTTGCTGTGCAACTATGCAAACTATTCCTCCCTCTTCTGAAATGTAGTTTGCTACTTCTGCTTTCAGACATCTTAATCTTTCAGATTGTATGATGAGAGTTCCTCTTTGAAAATACCAAATAATAGAGCAAAGTTAGCCACAACAATTTGCTAGTGGCAAGTTGGTGTCATCACAGGTGGTGACTAATTCCAGACACATGAGGATGTAGGATGACGGAGGGAAAGGACCGAGGTGTGTGTTCGAGTCTGACACAAGCTTTCAGAGTCACTTGGCCCTCGCTGTGGTTTACTCTGCAGGTGACATACGGCTCTCCCGCAGGGCTACTGCGACGACTGAGAAGTTATGTGAGTAACTGTGAGGGTTCAGAGTCAGGGAAAAACACCGGCTTTGCCACTTGCTAACTGGGACACTGAGCTGAGGGGTGCACACGGCCTGCATCACAGGGCTGCGGTGAAGACCGAAGGGCCTGATGCTTGTGGGGTCGTGGCAGCAGCAGGGCAGCAGCACGGTTAGTTACAGTGGTGTCGGGCACGGCAGCATCTCCCTGGCCTCTGATAAATCTGTTCGGGCTTACTTATCAAAGTCAAGAAGCTCATTGTGTTAAACCAAACTACTATTAAAGCATCAACTTCACAACAGCTTCACTAACAATAAAAACTATGCAAGTATTTGTACAACATCTAGTATGATTAGAGAAAGGAGTTTTTCTATAAGACTTATAGAATTTTCAGGTCACAATAATAATTTAGGTTCAGGAATGTTAACTAAAGAAACCAAGAGCTATTGGACATGAATTTAAATTGTGTAAAAAATTCAAATAGGAATATGTTGATCCATTAGTATAGGAAAAGACTACAAAATATGTTGAAAAAAAATAAGAAAAAGATCTTGGCAAGGCCAAAGACTGGGAAGACTGAAGGGGAGAGAGAATTAGCCATTAAAAAAATAGATGAATTTAACTTCATCAAGATTTATCACTTTGGCTCTCCATAAATACACCATTAAGAAAAGTCAAGCCATCGACCAGAAGAAAATTACTGCAAATTATAGCTAAAATATATAAGTAATTTTACAACTGGACAACTAAAAATGGACAAAATATTAAAATGGCGAATAAGCACATGAAAGACAGCCAACATCAGCAGCAATCAAGGAAATGGAATGAACCTGACTGCGCCACACCATTTTTCTGCAACGTGGGGAAAGTGACGATGAAGGCTTACCTGGATCAGGTGTGTTGGCATCGTGATGGTGCAGACCGAGAGTGAGGCCCGCATGAGGCCGCGGAGAACATAGAGGAACGTGGTGAGGCTGTGCCTGTCGCCGCAGGTTTCTGTGCAGCACACGTCATCTCCCCATAAGGGTGAGCCGAGGTTCTGGATTCCTATTCTTAAAATACTCTTCTGCGTTTTCTACAACAAAGTGGGAGGCAGGTAAACACGTAAGGCTTTGTTCATCAGTAAGCCAATCTCTGTCATCTGCCAGCTCCTAGCTTTGTTGATAACATCAGGAAGACAATGCCAATAGATACGGGAAAAAAATGCAGTATTAGTAGCAAGGCAGTGTACAGGCAGACTTTCAGATTCCGAGAGGACAAAAAATATCAGTCGTAAGCCAGGTGTGGTGGCATGTGGTCCCAGCTACTCAGGAGACTGAGGCTGCAGGGTCAATGAGTCCCAGGGTTTGAGGCTAGCCTGGCGACACTGCGAGACCCTGTCTCGAAATTGATTAGTCATGTAATACAATAACTAAATTTTTTGCCATTTTGGAAAATTTTAAGTGTATGCCTTAAGCTTTAAATGATCTCTAAAATTTCACAGTGATTCTTTAAGAGTTAGTTTGAGAAAGTTAAAACAATATATAAAAAATCATAGGTAAAATCTAAACTAAAATGTTTACAAACCCATTCTTAAAATTCAAAATTGTTTTTCAATAAACTGTAAGTTGCTCAATATTTCTCGTTTATATTATTCTAACCTGTGCCTGCTCCTTTGTTTGAAAGATGTTTAGCGATGTGTAACTTTTTTGGTTTTACATTTTATACTTGTCTCTAGTTTTTCATTTTGAAGCTATTTTTATAATGATACTTTAAGTTCAACATTTTTCATAAAATTTAACAGGCAAATATTTAGAACTTGAGCCTACTAATATTAAGGTTGTAATAATAGTGACCAATATTTCTTGGGAATAAACATTTTAAAATCATCAAAGGAAAGCCCAGATGATTGTCAATAAGTGTTTGCCAACATGTATTTATAATACATTCTACTGTTTGGGTTATTCTAGCTGAACAAATGTTTTGTAAATGCTTTCCTTAGCAATCTAGTGAAACTTCTGGGCAAAAGAAAGAGGTGTTAACAAAAACTGGCACATGCAACTATATGGAAAACCATTACTACAATTCTAGTGGGAAAAAAAAAGATGTCCTCTCTTAAAGCCATATTCGAGACATATGTCTCTTTAAATGTGATTCTGATGAAACAAGATCCTAAAATAGAGTACTTGCAGCTGCCATAAAATACCACCCGTAACTGTTATTAACAATCAGTTATGGTCCATCATGACGTATCTATTTCTCTGATAGACAAATGGAAATTGAGTTTGTATATTTTCTCAGGCAGAATTTATTGACAAATGGGAAGTAGGGAGAATGAATAATACATTCAAACGTTAGAAGAGGTAAGCCCCTGGGAGCAGTGCTTAGAAGACAAGTAACAGAGCCCAACAAGGTGGGCGGCATAACGAGGCAGACCTATGACCCTGGGCACCACCCGCAAGCCCCTCCTGGTACCCAGAGAAGCAATGCCAGGACGCCAGCACTGGTGGACATGCGAGTCCGTTCTTTATGTCAGAGCTGTAGAATTGACACAGAACCCAGGCACGCCCTCCAGGATGCTTTAAATCACCTCTAGGTTAATGCAGTGTACCTCATATGATCTAAATGTATTGTGTGGGACTAAGGAGAAGGAAAAAGGTCTGTGGTGTACACAGAGGAGAAGTTTTCAAGTGTTTTCAACTGCTGTGCATTGCACCTGTGCATATGGAACAGAGGGTCAACTACTACCCATTTCTAAAGTTAAAAGGATAGAATGGGACACTGGTCTTTAATTCCATACAATTCTTTGAATATACGAAGGCCTCGACAGACTATAAAAGTGAAATAACAGAAAAAGGAATCTTCATCAGAAAAAACTTCCTGTCACCAAGAACTTGAAATAAGGAAGAGTCAAGGAAGCTCGTCCAAGATCCTCTTTGGATGGTGTTGAAGTTATGACAGACAACCACCCAAGAGGTCTGATGTTAGGATCTTGGTCATCCGTGAACACTGTTTTATTTCTATTTCTGCATTAGTTGAGTGAAATGAAGCAAACAGATGTACCAAGGTATATCCTGGAAATATGAATATGTTCCTTGCAAATCTGAGTAAGGTATCTGTAAAATATGTGAGGATACTCCTTTTTTTATTACTTAGAACTTCAAAATTTAAGTAACATGGCAAAAATTTCAGGTTCATTTTGTCTTTTTTTTTGATACCAGGGATTGAACTCAGGACCTTGTGCTTGCCAGGCCAGGGGCAGCACCACTGAGCTACATCCCTGGCACCATTTTGTCATTTCTGAACTTGTTAGCTCATGTTGACAAACTTACGTTAGATTCTCCACAGGAAGAGCAATTCAGGAAAAGGGAGTAAGAGCCTCAGTACCTCCCACAAAATATCTCGATCGCAGAGTGCAATCTGAGGCTGAGGGATAGCGACACTGTGCTGTTCTCACTTGCTCTTCAGAAACGACCGGTCAGGGTGTTCTAACCCTTCTAGCCCATGGTCCCCAGCTCCTACTATGTACCAAGAAGTACCGTGAAAACATAAAGGCTTCAGAGCAAGGAGTCAGGAGAAGGACAGAAGCTCAGTCACGCTGACACACACGAACAGAAAGAATGAGAATATTAAGTCAAAGAGTGAGAAGACATCTAAGTCAGGAGGTACACAGCAGACTGGGACATAATTGAATGTAATACTTCAATGCAAGAGATGTAGTTAAGATTTTAAAAACAATGGTGGCAAATGGAAAACAAAGACAGAATCGCAGTGTCCTGGGTCACTTGGGACACTTATTCCTTCCTCTGCCACACCACCTAGCAGTGACCACACTGTGTGGTATGATAAGGTTTGAAAAAAAAAACTTTTGCTGACACCTGCACAATAAATACATCTCTTCCTCGAGAACATCTAACATAATCTAGTATTGTAAGCAAAATGAATTGTTCCCATTTGCTTTTATAGTGACGTGGTGCCAGCAATCTGTGAACAGCACCACCTCAGACATCTTTACAGATGAGCTGCACCAACATCACTTACCACGAAAGCCAGTGATGAGGTAGATTATAATATTCTGCTCAGACTGTATGTCTATCTGTTGTCTACAACTAGTTCAGTTTATTTGGAATTGCAGTGATAAAATAAGATAAAAATTTCCTTTTAAAAAGTAGGATTTCTTTCAGTGCCAGGATATAATTTTACTTTGGGAATATACTTTTTAAAGGAATGCTTGATAAATGCCTTCTTAAATTCATCCAAATTTCCTAAGACCAATGTATAGACTCAGTAATTCAGCAAGCAGTACAATCTATAATTTCATGGTATAGAAATTTATTAACTATATTTAGTTTTAGTAAATTGGAAGTGTACTTTTATAATAGCCTATTGGTTTATTTTGATTTGAAAATGTCAAGCATTCTTGGTGTTCACCACAGAAATGCCTACCTCCATCCTGTTCAATTTTTATGACTGTCAATAGTTCAGAGAACCAAGATAGCTCGTTTGTTGTCTATCGATTTTCAAGAAAAAAAGTATTGCTTCTTGACAATGGTGCCTTTTTCATTTTCAACTAAACAAGACAACAAAACATCGATTCCAATGCTCGCTTACTTAGTCAGCATTCCTAGGTGTAGCTGCATGCTCTCAGAGTGCGCGCGTGTGTGAGCACAAGCCTCTGCTTTTGTCTCTCCTCTTCTGCATTCTGTAAAATGTCTCGCTCTCAGAAGATGTGTCTCCATCCTGCACAAGCAGTGGCCCCGCACACTGTGCCACAGGAACTGTTATGACATGCCTGTTTCCATGGTTACTGCAGCAAGGGGGAGAGGTGCTTGTCAGGGACCAATTTACCTCTCCAGACAAGCACTGGCAGCGGAGGGAGGGCAGGGGACCCACAGCCTCAGCTCAAGCCAGGGTAGAGCCACAAGCAAGACAACATTCTGTGGAGAGCTAAAGGCCATCAGAGTACCTGCAGTCACCAGGCGCACACCAGTGCTTCCGACCTCCTATGAAACTGTTAGTTGGAACAAATTTCAAAATTATTTCTTTTCTAATGGAGAAATTGTTAACTACAGGAGTAAAGTTTATAAGAATATTTCAAAATCTATGAGTTGACAGCAAATATAGCTAAGAATGCCAAAAATAAGATTTTTGGCTTCTGTCTTTGTCAATAAAAATAATGGTGCTGTGGAACACTTCTGCTAAAATAACGGAGGCATGGATCTTTCAGTTGCAAATACAACTAAATCACTGGGGAAAAATTTAAAAGGCATGATATCTCAAAATAATTTTCCTCATTTTGTTTAAGGTAAACTAACCAGAACATCTTTATTAGTGTGAAGTAGAAGAAGTATTTAAAATTAGAACTACAGAGAAGAGTTAAGCTATAAAACATTTTAAAATAGCAAATAAAAATCCATTTATTCACTGAAACAATGCAAAACATTATATAACAAAAGATAAAATTTCAAGATAATTCTTACACATAAGGTAATTTGAAATTAAGGCCTGACAGAAACAAAAGATTTACATAGAAATGTACCAATGTTGCAGGTTTAAAAATCATTTCCAAAATGCAGCTATTTATTAATCCCAGAGGCTACAAACAGGTATTTGGGAACAGTGCTGACAATGAGTGTGCATCTTCTGAGCACCCACTGAGAACACGGCTCAGGCGCTCCTGGGCTGAGGCCGCCTGTCTCTCCATTCACACGGCTGGCGCTTGACAGCGGCTTGTGCACTGTGTGCTTCTCCAAGACTCCTGGGCCTGCCCCTCGAGGGTCTGAAAACAACACTCTGCGTGGCTGTAAAAGGCTCTGAAAGAACACAATACCTGGGGATTGGATCCATCAAAGCCTTCCTCAGAAATGATGTTCTTGATAAACTCAAGGAGCTTCATGTAGCCATGGGTCAAGTGGCTGTTGGGAGAAGTGGTTCAGACACATGAATGGGCTGCTACAAAGGAGGAAAAGCTACTGAAACAGGAAGTCAACAATTACAAGACAGACATTCATTAGAGTACTTAAACATAAAGCAAACGTGTCAAACTAGTATAAATAATGCCAACGTCTAAATCAATACAAAAAGGGAATAAGCCACACGCCTTATCTTAACTCACTCAGTGCTCTCAACATCATGGGAAGACAAAAATCTGTGGAGACTGGGATGACTTAATTATGTCAGGCTTGGTTACCTCCAAGAAAATTAATGATTTAATGAAGCAACCTAAATGGCGAAGCCACTATAGCTTTCCAGGAGTAATCATACATAATTAACACATAGTTAATGAGCTGCTAGGCCAAGTACACCTGAATCGATGTCCTAATCTCCAGAGCTCATCCTCCAAGTTCTAATTTCCTTAGAACAAACTGCTAAAATGATAGTAATTTAGAAGCTTGATATTTTAAGACACATGAAGACAGGTGGGTGGAATCGCCATGAAAGTTACTGTTTATCCACTTCTCTGTTAAAAGACAATCAAGGAAATTATGAATTTATGAAGACAACCTAAATTATTGCCCACAAGAAAAACAAGCATTAATGTTACAATTTAAAAATATTTCACAAGTACTATGAAATCTCAGAGAAAAATTAACCAGAGCAGAGAAAATCTGCCTTACTCTGGCTGAAGTTAAGATCTGCATATGGACGACCATGCGCTAGGTCTGGGCGTGAACCTTCAGAGCCAAAGTTCTGGGGCACAGCTGTTAGGCACCGACACAGCGCACTGCGGGCTGCAAGCACCATGCAGGACCCCGAGTGCACAGCAGCATCTGCAGACGGTGACCCCGGGCACGCGGTCGCATGGGAAGAAAATGATACTTTCAAATAATGAAACAGAATTAGAAGCGTATAGGCTACGGTAAATACAAAGGCAGGAAATGGAGCTTTCTGGGTGCAGAAGCAGTGGCGGACGGCTCAGCACAAACGTACTTGCACTTCTGTATCTATGCCATGTCAGCCCCGGCCAACCCCAGAGTGCTTATCCTACAAAAACAAACAGGAAAGGGGTGTGACTTTTGCACAGCTGGAGGTGATGAAGGGCTCAGCGGCTTTTTTCATCTAATTATGTCTCCATCTTCAGCGAGAATACAGGCAATTAGGTGGACACATATTTCCACTTTCATAACTGAGGAAGCGTGTCTACAAGTCATATTCTACCAGGGCAGTTTTGTTACTATTTCATATCTTAACACAAATTTGTAGGTAGCTCAACTTTTAAAACACAGTGTAGTGTTCACATGCAGTACAGAACATTCCTATCCTGCTCAACTAGCTTCCCCCAGGGGCTGAAATTTGCTCCAACATTCTTGATTATGAAACTAATTCCAGCCCACCATTTGATGTTACTACAGGGCTCAAGGAGGATGTATACACCTAGCACCTCCCAAAATACCAATAATACATCTATCCAAGACCAGCATTATTGCAAATAATGGTGATGATGATAACAATAAGGTATGACGACGACAACAACAACAACAACAACAGAGGCTCCTGCAGCACTGTCTTTCTGTGCCGGTCTTATTTTATGTGACAATGTCCTCCAGTATGATGCTGTCACAAATGATAGGATTTCCTTTGTTCTGTAAGGGTAAAGACCATTCAGTTGTGTGCCCACCACTTTATTTACTGGTCTGTTGATGAACACTGAGGTTGATTACATCTCTTGGCTTTTGCAACACTGCAATAAACAGGTGTCCCTTCAAAACGATCATCTGATCTCCTTTAGACATACACCAGGAAGAGGGGCTGCTGCATACAGTGGCTCTATGTTTAAATTTTGTGGTGCCTCCATATTGTTTTCCACAACAGTTGTAACAGTTTATAATTCCCACCAACAGTGTACAGGGGTCCTTTTCCCCCCAACACTTCTCTTTTGTCTATTTGATAATAGCCATTCTGACAGGTGTAAGATGATCTCATTGTGATTTTAATTCACATTTCCCAGATGATTAATGGTGTTCGGCATTCTTTCACAGACATGTTGTCCAGTTGTTTGTCTTCTTTTGAGAAATGTCTGCTAGGGCCTTTGCTCATTTGTTAACTAGGTTGTTATCTTGCCATTGACTTGTTTGGTGCCTTATATATTTGGGGCGTTAACCTCTTCTCCAAATACCTTCCCCCATCCCAAGATGGTCTCTCCATTGTGCTTCCTCTGCTGGGCAGAATAGGGTGCTCTCTTGGACAGGAACAAAACAAAGACACAGAGCCAGTGCATCTTGAGCTCTTCTTTAATCTCTACAGAAGGAAATCCAATCACCAACAATGCTTAGAGCTCTGTAGGTATTAAGATCGATTTCTCCAACTAATTACAGTTCTAGGAAAATAACAGCCTTGACAAAATGGGGGGTCCTTTTATTTAGGTGTATCTATTGTTAACATTAACATTGGGATTAAATCACTTAAGACTAAAATCATTTATATGTTTTGATACTAAAATACTAAGCACTGCTAACCTCCATACATTTCTTTCCATTAACATTGATAATAATGAGCCACGTGTGGTGGTGGATGCCTGTAATCCCAGCATTCAGGAGGCTGAGGCAGGTGGATTGCCACAAGTTCGAGGCCAGCCCGAGTGACTTAGTGAGTTTAAGGCCATCCTGAATTATATAGCAAGACCTTCTCAAAAACAAAATATGTAATGTATATTTTCCTGAAATAAATCTATTTTCATCTGAAATTGTGGATTTGTTATTAACAATTTTTCATTTTGAGGATGTTTCTTTCTGTGTGTGTGCTCCTTAGTCTAGTTATAGTAGTTGGTAAGAAGGAAGCCCAGTTACAAATATGACCCAGGCCTCCTTATTAATGTGTCCGAACATTTAACACAGCTTAGGTGAGTGCAAGTATGTTTCTAAAACCTGCTCCAAAGGCAGCATATTTTTAATCATGTAAACTGTATTTTGCCTGATTCATAATTTTTGAAAACTCTTATACTAAAATGATCTACCTTGAGATGCTACAATTTGTCTTTCAAGTTATCACAGTATAAGGAATATAAAAATAATTAATAGAACTCTAACTTTTACCTTTAAAATTTCAAGCACTTATCTTTAATTAAAAAATGTAAAACTCCTGGGGAAACAGGAGAAAATATTTTGAGACTATAAACTAAAATTAAAATTATAATTATATTTGTAAATAAGGGGGCAAAAAGGGTTGAAGGGAGGGGAGGGGAAGGGGAAAAAGAAGAATGAAGATCTATCATGTACAGGTACAAACTCCCTATGATGGATGTGATCATTATGTACATCTAAATTGTAGCAATTTAATTAAAAATAAAAAACCAGAGAATGAACTAGAAATTCAGCAGGAAATCTGATCTGAGTTTAATAGCTGTAACATGGCAACTAGCCTAGGATAACAGGGCAAAGTACTTTGTAATGTGTATAAAATATATTCTTTAACAAAATAAAGGATTATTACATCTTGTTATTCCCTTTCGAAGGCTCCATAAATATACATTTTATTGAAGATATGGTATATTATTCTGAATAGGACTGTAAAATACAAATGAATTATAGTAATTCTCTAACAGAAAAATTGTGATGTATTCTAAAAATGTACTAAAAACGTATTTCTACGGTAGCAGCACATTAGCTTGTTCTGAACTGCATGATTCTCAGAATCCAGAAAATATGAGAAGAAATGTGTGTACAGCATATAAGTACTTTTATTTTGAGTGAAAATTTTCCATTGACTATAATGTCTTCAGGATACAGGTAAAATATTAAATAGTGACATAAAATTCTGATTATTTTACAATATCAAATATGTACTCTGTTGGTTTCCTAGGAATGGCCTAATAAATTACATGGATTTAAACCAACAAAAAAATTAAAATTATATTACCAGGATATGGTGCTGCAAACCTATGATTCCAGCATGCTGGGAGGCTCAGTCAGAAAGATCACAAGTTTGAGCACAGTCTGAGCAAGAGCTTGTCTCAAAATTTTAAAAAGGTGGAGAAGCTCAGCCGGTCCCAGCACCCAGAAGGAAGCTCCCTGCCTCCATCCCTAGCTCCTAGGGCTGAAAAGCTCAGCCAGTCCCAGAACCCGGAAGGAAGATCTGCACCTCCATCCCAGGCTCCTAAGGCAGAGAAGCTTAGCTGGTCCCAGCACCCAGAAGCTCCTCGCCTCCATCCCAGGCTCCTAGGGCAGAGAAGCTCAGCTGGTCCCAGCACCCGAAAAGAAGCTCCCCGCTGCCATCCCAAGCTCCTAGGGCAGAGAAGGTAAGCCCATCCCAGCACCCAGAAAGAATCTCCCCCACCACCATCCCAAGCTCCTAGAGCAGAGAAGGTAAGCCGTGTGGGCGCCAGAAGCACCCTCTCCCATGTAAATAAGAAGACACGTAAACAAATCTCAAAAACAGACTTCTGGATCACCTACAGCAACCCCAAAAGGAAACAAGATGGAACAATCTAATACTCAACCACCTGGACTCTCAGAACTGGCAACAAAAGAGGATCTGGGAAAAATGAAATCAGAAATAATTACTCAGATAACACCAACGATTTTGCTCATGGTGCAAGACATGATTAATAAATCTAGAGAGGATACAGATAAAAAAAATAGAGGATCTGAGGAACATGATGGAATCCCAACATAGGAAACAAATGGAATCCATAAAACAGATACAAACAGATTTCC